TAGTCTGAACTGGGCTTTAGGAATCGTTAAGGCCAGCTGTTCAGCTTGGCTCATAGTTTTCAATCAGTTCCACCAAATACAGTGGAGCCATGCCATTCAATGGTTTATAAACAAAAAAACAAATATTAAATTAATTCTATAATGGATCAGCAGCCATTTTAAAGAGTTCAAGACAGGAGTAATATGGTCCTTCTAAAAGACTAGCAGCAGCATTTTGATCCAGTTGAAAGCGGTTAAGCAATGATTTATTAATACCAACATATAGAAAGTTACAGTAACTTAACCTTGTAAAAACTAAATCACAAATAGCGTATTCCAGATCATGCATGAACAAAAATGGTTTACCTTCGCTATTAATCTTAGATGATAAAAACAGGACTTAGGCTGGCCACACACTAGACCAGGGCCGCATACAGCGCTATTGAGCCACTCAAAATTACCGCAAGGGAAATTCCCTCACCAGGGCTATTCAATTAGTTTCATTTGAGGGCCGGATTATTGAATTGAAAATTTGAATGTAGCCAAGGGTGAGGTGGGCCATCCCGATCTCTTTTTGGGGGGCCTATAAAATTAGAAATTAAATTTGAATGCATATTCAGCAGTAAAAGCAACTAATATTACCAACACCAACATCTATAAAAAACATTAGTGCTGTCTGTCAGTCGAAAAAAAAATGAACTAATTAATCAAATTTTTCTGTAATTAATCATGATTAATTGCATATTAATATATTGTCATAATTTCACATTGAACCTCCAAATTAATGTAGAAACAACTAGGGCTGCACAATTAATCGAATTTCTAATCGTGATTACAATTATGGATGCCACAATTAAGTCATCGTTCAAACCGGCAATTAATCGTTCAAAGTCCACTTATGTTATTCTGCGTGCTTAAGATGCGTTTTTTTCTTTCTACATGTTATCTTAAGGGGGTTCCCCATTATTTTAATTTTAGTTTTAGCATAAAATTTTAATACCATTCATATTTTTCCTTTTTTATAATTTAAAGGCAGTTGCATCAAACAATGGTATAAACATCATTCAATATAAATTGTGATAATCGTAATTAATAATCGCAATTACAATTTCAAGGAATAATCGACAGTTATGATTTTTGTCATAATCGTGCAACCCTAGAAACAACCCATATTTTAAATGTTTAATGGCATCTCTTTACTAAGTAGCCTATTATTAACTAATTAATACTGCTACTGATGTCTCGATTAATTGCATTTTCATCTCAATTTTAGCCATTAATTATAGCCATTTAACATTATATTTTTAACATTATATTTTTAACATTTAGTAGGCTCTGAAAAACATAACTTTTAATTGAAATGAACTTAAAAACAATCTTCACATAAACTATAAATTGTATTTTATAGTTTTGGCATAATTGTGTGTTTTTGTCAGTTGAAGAGCTACTAGCGCACTGTCTGAAGTGGCTCAGTGCATGCGTACAGCAGAACCTACAGTCTATGAGCAGAACGCGCAGCCTTTCAAAATATACTCCATTTGATAATCATCTTCGTCCACTGTCTGCGCTATTTCTCGCCAGAAGTTATGACAGATAACACTGCCTTTATACTCGTTGAAACTAGAGTTGTGGATATCTCATAAACCCCTCACACAAGCGCTTGTCAACGCTGCCGTCTATTGATGTTGCGGTCTCCGGTAGGTTGTTGTTGTGGCTGTAAAACAACGGCCCGGGCCAGTGATGCCACCTTGTGGACAAACTAATTAGTGCAAAAACAATTCAAGGTGTATGTGCGACCTGCGTGTCCTCTTCCCTCGGGCCGGATGAAGATGATTGGCGGGCCGGATTGGGCCCGCGGGCCGCCAATTGAATAGTCCTGCACTAGACGATTTTCAATTGTTAACCGATTTTAAAACCATGGCAGACCACAGACATGAAGACGGTTTCAAACGATTTTTAGTCTTATAATCGTCTGAAAGCGCACACTAGATGATTCTTTCAGACCGCGAGACCACACACTTGTTGACTCTAGGAACAATTTCACAGTGACACAAGATCTCACAGAGACTAGCGAGATCAAACTTGACTAGAGAAGAAAAACAAATGGAGAGTAATCAACGTTTTCAGCTGGCTCTCCTGGCACGCGTTCTGTTTCACAGTGAAAACAAAGTATAAAAAAAAATATGGGTGATGTATTCTGCTTTCGTGGCATTTTTGTGGCTGCCAAGTTTCAGCTATAGTAGCACGCAACATCTGGTTGAGGATGCTTGCTTGCTTTCATTGGCTATCACAGGTATCACGTCAGAGGCAGCTAGATCAAGAGTCGTAAATATCAAACATGTTTGATACTGCCATATTTTAGCCATAATTTAATTGTATAAAACGTTTGATATTTATGATTTGAATTCGGGATGCTCCGTCTCGATAGGGAGCAGTTAAATAATTGTAATGACACCATACAATAAAGAATTTTATTTTTTTTATCTTTTGCAACAAACCTTAAATTCGGCCACACCCCCTAATCTTTCAGGGGTGTAATTCAAGCTTAAAATCGGCATTAAAATCTTCTAGTGTGTGGCCAGCCTTAACCACACAATAAATCTGCTTCTCAAATTTGAGATAACTGTTGAAAAAACTCCTAGATTACGTACTTCTAGCTTACAAAAGGGGGCTAAATTGCCCAAATCACACAACTTCAGTTTTATCTTCATTCAGATTTTAAAATTTTACCGACAGCCATAATTTAATTGATTGTACAAAGCCCAGCAAATGACACGGTAGTGTCACAGTACGGTACGTTCGGTAATTGCTTGCGCCGCAATGTTGGAAATATTTCTGTTTTAAACCATGAAGGTGAGCCAATGGATATCACATAAGCAACGTGCAAAGTTTGTGCAAGAGTTATGCTGGTGAACGTCTCAGTCAATTCACTTTGCAGTAAGTGAAACTAAAAACAGAATGATAGAGTAATGACGGAGCATTCGCCATCTGATGCCGCATAATCTCTCAGAGACGACGAGAGACGAATCTACTTCAACATATACTGAACGGTATTAGAGATCGACCGATATATCGATTTACCGATATTTTTCCCGAAAAAAAACTGTATTCGTGCCGTACACATGCGTACCGAACCGAGAGACACGTACCGAAACGGTTCGGTACGAATACGTGTACCGTTACACCCCTACTAAACGGTATATAACTAACTGTTTTAATATTTTAATATTTCTCTTGTGGCCCGTACGTAGTGATAAAAAATGAGAAGAAATGTATTTTGTGTTAAACAGGTTGTTTTTGAAAGTCTGTGCTTGAAATAGGCTAAAGCTTTTTATTTCATTGATTTTTATTGATGACTGCAGTGTTAACATTTTAATTATAAGCCTATAATTCACTGTACAATAGACCTGTTTTAAAATACCTTTTTTTTTAACATTTTAATTGAGGAGTAAATAGCCTAATCTTTTATTATCCTCGCAGCCTGTCAGTTATGCGGTAATATTGTGGGGCAAATTAATTGTAGTTTTAATTTAATAATAAAAGTAACCTCATAATAATAATAGGCCCGATAAAAATAAGAATGTAACAGGCCTACATTAATTAAAAATGACAAATCCTCTTAATATTGCCAGTAATTGTTAACATTTTAATTGAGGAGTAAATAGCCTAATCTTTTATTATCCTCGCAGCCTGTCAGTTATGCGGTAATATTGTGGGGCAAATTAATTGTAGTTTTAATTTAATAATAAAAGTAACCTCATAATAATAATAGGCCCGATAAAAATGAGAATGTAACAGGCCTACATTAATTAAAAATGACAAATCCTCTTAATATTGCCAATAATTGATGTTTTTGCCTATCTCTGGCTATTGTCGATACAAGAACCCAGCAAGGGGAGGTTGTTGCGGGTCCTTTCGCAGTGCGTGCTCTACGTGCCCGTCTGCTACGCCACTGGGCAGACAGCACGTTGCCTGTTATGTCGTTTGGGCTGCCTTGTTGAGCACAGTGGAACTGAGAACATTATATTTCACACACTTTATGCTCTGTTATTTTTCCAAATGTAATGAATGATTCGTCCAACGAATCATTCAGTTTGTAATGTGTACCTAACCAAAAGCCTCATACCGAATGGTTCAATATGAATACGTGCATCGTTACACCCATAGAAGATACACTTGCATATCATCTGCATAGAAGTGATCGATATTAACTGAAAATAATTTATATTGAGAATCATGAGATTTCAAAGGTATCTAAAAATTTGGTATGGTAACTACATGTGCATGTCTGTCTCAAAATCAGCCAAAATCCAAGAGATCCGTGGAGCTGGAGTGTCTGTTTGAGTGCAAATTACTAATGACAAACATTGATTAATGTAAATAAAAATCATATTTGCTTTATAATTACATTTTCATCAAGTTGAAGTTTCAAGTTGTTGACTCTTAGTAGTTTATAATCCCTAGGACATAGACCCCAGTAGGATAGAGTATATATATATAGAATGGCCAAAAAAAATCCACCAATCACTCTTACTATTTTAATAACATATATGCATTAAAATTAAGTATATTTGTACTTTACTGAAGTAAATTTTAACAGGAGTTATTTTACTGGAATAATGTTTCATTTGGCTTTAAATCGACTACAAGGGATGTTAGTAATTTTGTCTTCTCAAATACTCAAATATTTTGAATGCACCATGTCAAGTTAAAATAAATTAGAACCTGTCTCAGGATGCAGTGGACATTTCCATTCGTTTGTGTCTGGTTTCCACCCATATATTACGATATATATGGCAACATTTTTTTGTTGTGTGTAATTGTTTTGCATGTTCAAGGACTTTGAATGTTTAACTTTTAATGCATAGTTAAAGTTTTTTTTCAAGTTTTCAATCACAATAAAACCTTCATTCTTTGGAATTATTGTGTATTTATTTTAACCTTGGGCTTGGCCAGTTAGATGACCCTTTACCACCACAGTGCTTGTATTATGAGTGTGTTGTTGATTTCTCTTAATGCAGATGGCTCATGGCATTCTTCAGGCACATGGAAACTCACAGCTTCACAACCTGTTGACTCTAGCAGAGGAGATTGGTGTGTGGTCCAACGCCACGCTGTGTAGCCTTCTCTCAAGTGACATCATTAATGTACAGAAAGGTGAAATGTATTCTACTGTCTATAACTTTCTTATTTGAATGTTCTATTTTTTCTTATTTCCTTATTTATTTCCATATTTTGGTAATAACATTAATTTATAATTGTACTGCCATTGTTGTTAACTTGATTGAATGTGCGTCTTCCATAGTACATGAGTTTTTATCTCGAGAAGGACCTGAACTACTTCATATGCGTATAAAGCAGCTAATGAAACAGAAGCATATGGAAAAAGCTGCAAGACTAGCTAAGACATGCGCAGAGTTTCCAGAATTTGGAGGCAAAAAGAACTTCAAACCAATCTACCTCGTATGTCTCTGTGAAATAAAGCCGCAAGAAGAACTTATGCAAGAGGTAAGGGTCTTTTAAAAAAAAGTCTGTCTACTTTGCATTATTGCTGAAGTTTAAGCATATTTAGTTTTATTTCTGCTCTTTCACATTTTTTGTTTTATTTGAAATTATAACCAGGCTATTTGTGTTCCTTATGGTATGAGTTATAACAATATAACAATTATAGCTGTATGCCCGAGTGGACTGTACTTGAAAAGTACTCCTCTGTGACAAGTTGCCATTATTTATTGAATTTAGCATTTCGGTAACCTCTTAGGGTCCTTAAAAGGCCTTTAAAACATGTTTGTGTTTAGAACACTTTTTTTAAAAATGTTTTCCAGGCAACAGTCATTCTATTCTTTTATTTTTTTTCCTGACTTTTGCCAAGGATTCTGATACAAAAATATCTTAGTCATATCCAAATATCTTGGCCTGCATGTTTCTGCATCATGTTGGAATCACCATCATGCTTAAAGGGTTACTGTCCTCACCCTCATGCTGTTCCAAACCAATCCAAAACTTTTGTTCATCTTTGAAACACAAATGAGGGTATTTTTAATGCAATCTGAAATTTCTTTCCCTCTATTGACAGTCCATTCCACCAAAAACTTCAGGCTTCAAAAATAAAGAAATAAAAGTAATCCATATAAATTTAGCAGTTTAATCCAAGTCTTCTGAAGAGACATGATCGCTTTATATGATGAACAGATTTAATAAAGGTTTTTATTCTGATATGAACACTGATCAGTGCATCTACATCAAATATGGTAAACACAGACTTGCTTGCTTGATGCACAAGAACCAATCATGTTCTCACACATCACAAAAGTATGACTGAGCTGCTAACATTGTCATGAAATACTAAAATATGTTTTAGGGTTTTATGACCCTTTAAGATTTGCCTTGTGGTCTGTGTTGTTATTAGTTGAAGGGTTAGTTCACCCAACAATTAAAATTCTGTCATGATTTATTCATGTTGTTCAAACCCAGAAGGCTTTTGTTATAAGATTTTTAATATTCTCTCATCCTTGATCAACGCGCATGAAGCTCATCAAACATGGTAAATATGGAAACGCAATTGTACTTTCTTGATGTGTGAGACAAAACCTCATTAGGCTTCTCTGTTTAACATATTTGATGAGCTCTGTGTATGTGCATTGTACATGTTTATATATGAATAAAATCCAAAACAAAATCAGTTCATCATATAAAGCAATAATGTCTCTTTAGAAGACTCAATTCATATGGTTTACTTTTACCAAGTGTTTTTGTACTTTTTGATGCATGAAAGTTGGATGGACAATAATGATGTGTTCCAAGGATGAATGGACTTCTTTTGGGTTTAAAATGAGATGAGAGTGAGGAAATCAGGGCTTCACAATTGTTTTTCCCCTCAAGGAGGGCATTTTAAAAACTTTAAGGGCCCAGTGAAAAATGATCGAATAATGTGTTTTTCCTTAATAAAGGGATATACAAGGATATATATGAAGAGTTTATTTGCAAAAACAAATAGCATTTTTGTAGATTTTCACAAATCATGTTTTTTAATTGTGCATTCCAAAGTAATATCATTCAAACTGCATTTGGGTTGTTTTGATTAATAATAACACAAAAAATACAGGTAACCTGCTAAATTAAAGTTCATTAAAAGTATGTTTTTTAACATAAAAATTAGTTTTTTTTAGCAAAAGCAGATAATTCCTACAGGTTTTTTTTTTTTTTTTTGCTAAAGCAGATAACTCCACATTTAATTTTTCAGTTGGAAACAAAACCAAGTAATTGCTTTGTAATTGCTAAGTTAGCAGGACCAAATGTGTTCATTAGTAATGGTTTGTGTGCATTTTATTTTGTGATTTCACCGGAACGAATAGAGAGTCTCCACAACAGTTAGCAATAGACTGAAGCGCTCCTCTGTGACACCGGCATTAATAACAGCAGCAACGAGCACTCAGCATGATTTTAAAAGCAACACATTTCAGCAGCAGACGAAACTTCTCTCAGCTAGCGCATCTTCGAAGTGACTAGCAGCCTTGTCACCTGAGCTAAATACTGTGCCTGATTCGCAAAAATTGACTTATCGGGTTTTGTTCAAAAACAAAAACTCGCGATGCCTTGACAGTGGACAAAACCGGCTTTTGTGACAAAAAGTATTTAGGGTTCAGAATGTGCTAAGTGTGAAGAATAACGCATGGCAGTCAGTTCATTTTTTTTTTAAACATGGCGTTTATCAGTTTTTGCAAATGAACTCTTCATATACACACATTTAGGCCCTTATATATTTGGACACAGGCACAATTTTTATCATTTTAGCTGCTGACCAAGACATTCAAGTTACAGTTATATAATGAACATGGGCTTAAAGTGCACACTCTGAGCTTTAATTTGAGGGTATTCTCATCGAAATTGGAGGAAAGGTTAACGAATTACAGCTCTTTAATATGTGCCCCCCCCCTCAAGGGATCATAAGTAATTGGACAATTGACTCAAAAGCTGTTTCATGGACAGGCGTGGGCTATTCTTTTGTTATTTCTACACCAATTAAGCAGGTAAAAGGTCTGGAGTTGATTCTAAGTTTGCCATTTGCATTTGGAAGCTGTTGCTGGGAAACCCACATTATGCAGTCAAAGGATCTCTCCATACAAGTGAAACAGACAATTGTTAGGCTTCAAAAACAAAACAAATACATTGGAGAGATAGGAGGAACATTGGGAGTGGCCAAATCAACAGTTTGGTACATTCTGTGAAAAAAATAACAGATTAGTGAGCTCAGCAACATAAAAAGGCCTGGACGTCCACGGAGGACAACAGTGGTGGATGATTGGAGAATCCTCTCTGTGGTAAAGAAAAACCCTTTCACAACATCCAGCCACGTGAAGAACACTCTCTAGGAGGTAGTCATGTCACTGTCAAAAGTGGCTGTGTGTAAAAGTGGTTGTAATTCCTAAGCATTTTATGTTATATTTTTTTCAACCCCTTGAATTAAAGCTTAAAGTCTGCACTTCAATTTCATCTTGATTGTTTTATTTTTAATTCCGTTCTTGTGGCAAAGACGAAATTATGAAAATTGTGTCAGTGTCCAAATATATATAAACCTAACTGTATATATAAAATAAACTATGGTGAGACAAAACATTATGACCACTCATAGGTGAAGTGAGTGTTGTTAATCATCTTCTAACAAGGTCACAATGTGAAGGTCTGGTTAATTTATATGGTAGATGAACAATTGGTAGTCAGTGAACATCAGTGAACTGAACGTCACTGTGGGAACTAGGCACTTCTCACTGTACCCCTCCTCTAGCAACACCATAAAATTCTGGATGCTGTTAGATCTGAAATGATTGACCTGGTCTCATGAGACCAGAGTATTTATTCCCAGAAGTCTATATTTTGTAAATATGGGCCTTGGAAAAAGCTAAATAAGTTTATTGTGCTTTGGCTACAGGTAGTTCTGGTGTGGATAAACATCCATGCATGTCACTTCTGCAGGCTGCATCTTACTCTGTGAGATAAAGTGTCACTCATTTCATCAATTTTGCCAGCTCTGAGACACTTTCTTGGTGTTTCTCCTGCTCTTTTCCTAGCAAAAACTCATCACTTAGAGTGAAGACCTCATACGTAAATTACACTATAGTGAGACAAAACATTATGACCACTCATAGGTGAAGTGAGTATTGTTAATCATCTCCTATCAAGGTCACATGCGAAGGTCTGGGTAATTTATATGGTAAATAAACAATTGGTTCATGTAGTCAGTGTGTGGTGGAGAAATGGTTAGAAATAAAGATCTGACTGACTTTGACAAGGGCCAAATTGTTGGTCCAGACAACTGTCAAAGCATCTGTGAAACCGCAAGGCTTGTGGGGTGCTCCTGCTAAGCATTTGTGAGAACCTACCAAGAGTGTCCGAGAAGGGACCAACTATGATGGGCCTCTGTAGGTGCAGACTGATCAGAGTGCCCAAGAAGACCCTGCTCCGCAGCTGAAAGGCCATAAAATAAGCACATGAGCAATGAAACTGGACCTTGGGGCAGTGAAATTAATCTTGTCTGGTCTGATGAGTCCTGTTTTCATTACATTACGTTTACTTGGATATAATGGCACCAGGATACACTGCGTGAAGATGACAAGCTGGTCGATAGACTGTGATGCTATGGAAATCCTGTTTCCACCATTCATGTGGACGTCAGTTTGACATTCCACCTACCTAAACCTCATTGCATACCAGGTACACTCTTAATGGCAGTGGTATTCCCTGATAGCAGAGGCCTCTTTAGGCAGGATATTGCCCCCTGCTACAGTGCACACATTGTTCAGGAATGGTTTAAAAAAACATAATGAAGAGTTCATAGTACAAATGGCGCTTCACAGTACAAATGGACGATGACCCAAAACATACAACAAAAGCAACCTAGGAGTTTTTGAAGGTAACAAAGTGGAATATTCTGCAATGGTCCATGACTCAGTGGGTCAGTACTGTTTCGCCAGCACAAAGAGGGCCAACAGCATATTAGAGGTGGTCATAATGATTTGGCTTATCGGTGTGTGTGTGTGTATTTTGTGTATATATATCATAACGCCGCCCAAATGTTCACGCAAAGAAAGGAGGCCTAACTTTGATTCTCGCTGTAGTATTGCTGCCGCTGCCGCCATGTTGTGGAGACGCTGTGTGTTTTGTTATGAAAGCGAAACTACTTTGTTTGGCCTTCCAAAAGAGGACACAACTAGAAATCAGTGGTTAAGTTGTATTTACAACACTGTTCCGGAACAGTTCAACCCAAATATTCAGATGTGTGCAGCGCATTTGATGGAGGATGAGGACTGTTTCCTAGGAGAGTATAGCCTACAATGCCGGTGTCTGTTTCTATAAAGTGGGGCAGTTCCAACTTTGCAAGGACAGTCTGGCGCTTCATGACTCACAGCCTGTAAGTAAGTTTTTATATTAAAGAATTTGCCACTGACAATTCAAGTTGTGTTTTGAGCAGTGTAGAGTAGCGCTTGTTGTTTGTCGTTTCTCCGATCACA